GTCCCTCCTCATCGCCAGCAGATGGCGCAGTTCTGCACCGTCCCTCCTCATCGCCAGCAGATGGCGCAGTTCTGCACCGTGCCTCCTCATCGCCAGCAGATGAAAATTCGAGCAAGAAGCTGACTTCAGCTTTGTGATTACTGTTTGACAGTCTCTCATGCAGACTAAACGTACCAGGAAACCCGCTGAGTATTTATGAATGCAAATAAATCCATTCATCTCCAAATGAGCAATGTTCACCTTAAATTGTTGCCTTTTCGTTAGCTACTAGCTGGGCGAGATTCTCTGCGTTGCTATGTGACCTGCAGTCTGCATGCCAGTCTTTAGAGTTATAGGGTGGTGAATTATTACCATTTACTGTTAAACTGTGTTGAATGATCAGCAGAGCTTTATTTTTCTGTAAAGGAGGATTATTTTATTTTACCTACAAATCTAATTCTGCTGTGCAGCTGTATGTTGCCAACTCCGAGCGTATGGAAGCACTTTGGTTTCTATGAAGTTAACGGGGAAAAGGAACCGAATAAGAGCCATACTATATGCAAGTTGTGTCACACTAAACTAAAATATTTTGGAAACGTCAAACATGAGAAACCATATTACATGTTTCCACCCGTTTTCCTACCAGTTGTAGTTGCTGCCAATCAGAGGACCATCGAACGAGCGATATTGAAGCTTATACCCAACTTGGAAGCGAATTTTAAACTCTATTGCAACTTTTATTGCCAAGGATTTGCGTCCGTTCTCAGTTGTTGAAAACCAGGGCTTTCGCGCCATGTTGGACACTTTGGAGCTGAGATACAGCGTCCCGTATCAAAGATATTTTACTGACACAGCGACCAACTCTCTACAACGAGACCAAAATTGAATAATCTCTGAAGAAAATGGGTAAAATAGCTGTAACATGATGCATGTGCCTAAAGATTCCCACCCCTAGTATACATGATGTGTAGGGGAGTGCGGGGAACAACCCAACACAGGACACAAGGCAGCTTTACAGAAAAAAAATTCAGGTCTGAGCCCCCATGAGCATCATCAATGGCAACGATGAAGAGGGGAAAAACTCCCTAAGAGCGAGAAGAAAAAACACTGAGAGGAACCAAGACTCAAAAGGGGAACCCATCCTCCTCTGGTCCGCACCAGATAGCAAACAAAAACAGCAGAGAATGTGATTTGATCATCAGTATAAGATATGGAAAAGGGAAAAAAAGCAGGAGTAGCAATGTCTATGATTGAAAATGCAGCAGCATCTTCAGGAGGGTCAGTTCATGCAGGTGAGGTTTGCACAGCATTGTACAGCAAGAAGCTCTATGGTCCAGAAGGCTGGCAAGCAGTGGGCACCTGAACAAGGCAGATGAAGCAACAGCATCAGGCCACAAATAAAACAGACCATTAAAAGAAAGAACAAAGTACGTAAAAGGAAAATAAAAACATAAAAAGAAAATTAAAGCAAAGACCTAAGTGTTACTGGGATTAGCTTACACATGGTAAAGTGCTGCAAGACTAAAGTGTGAGTCTTAGAGCTCAACCATAGACACATGAGAAGAGAAATGTTTTTAACCTGGACTTAAAAATCACTACATTTGGGGCTCATCTCAGATCATCTGGCAATTGTAGCAGCATAACAGCTAAATGCTGCTTCACCGTGTTTGAACATGTACTCAACTGAGTCCATGGATCTAAGAGATTTAGGTCCAGTCCCATTCCTTATTTTTACCCTTACCCCTTGTTTTTGAGTGTCTCTTTGCACCTTGGAACTGAGTCACAACGGGTAGTGGTTGAAATCTTCCCCTACAAAATGGGACCCTCAAATAAAAAAGCACATTACTTCATTAACAAGCTACTAGTGCTGCTCTGTAGGCGAGGTTGTTTATTGACTAATATCTCCTACTTAAGATGTATAGAAGTATTTATTGAGGTTGTGGTACTGTTTGGTAATATTTATCAAAACATTTGGAGGCTTTGTATTTAGCATTCATTTTACTGGATTTAGTAAAAAGACATACTGCATTAGCAGTCATACATTTTATTTTTGTAGATGTCTTTTTTAAAAACTTACAAAAAATGTTCACCCACAGCAAAACATCTGAAATACTTCATTGTGAAGTAATATCTTATTTGTCTGTTATAAACCAATGTGAATATATTTATGATGTATAACTCTAAATCTAAGACCTAAGAGATATCATATAAATAATAAAAAAAATCATTATTATAAGATGTTGCCTAAAACACTTAGTTACAAAGTTCATTTCCAAGTCATTTTTATCATGTAAATAATTCTATATGTAATCTGTTATTGGTGGTGTGTTATGAAGAAAAAGTTAGAACTGTAATATTCACAAGCTGTGTTCAGCAGTTAACAGCAGTTATAGCACCAGTTGCTATATTTTACAGCATCTTTCAAAGTAAGTTCTTAATCTTACAACCCACACAATAGAGCTTCAGTAATTAAACAGATTAAAACAGACCATAATAAAACACATTAATAACACTCCCAGTTGTGACAACACTGGTCTAAAACATAGTGAAAAAATAACTGGGCTACCAAAAAGGCAAAGAGAACAATAAGCTTTTCAAAAGCCCAAACTGTCGCTGCCATTGCTCATCAGTTGAGGCTTTTTCGATATTAAGTCACTCCTGGAATCGGTCACTGACAGACATCCTGTGTAGAGTGTGGGCCAACGCAAAACCAGAAGACGTCAACCTGATAGAGATCGAACAAAAAGGAAAACAAGTAATGTAATATAATGCTTAAAAACTGTATTTAAGCTGAAAAAGGAATGTGTTGTAAAAGGAAATGATTTAAACTCATGTAAATGTGAACTATGATGTACAGAAGTTGAAAATGTGTATATGGAACTTTCTAGAGAAACAAGAACGATTTTTCGAGAGATATTTTTGCTTTACTTTCAGAAAGGCAAAGTGTGTATGTAGTGGTTTGGTAATATTTGGAGAAAACTGGTGGAAGTTTCTTAGTAATAAGGCAGTCTCGGGATCATGCTGTGGATTTGAAGTTTTTACCATTTGGAAGCACCAGAGGTAGTAGTGGATTGTTTTTCTTAGCAGTGTATTTTTATTCATCAGAGTTTTCTCTGCCTCAGTAGGGGATAGGCTAGTAATGTCATCTATAACGAGGGGTATTCAAACTTAGGCACAATGTGTGGTTTCGTTCCAACCATGCAAGAACACACTTGATTAGCTGATGGAAGACTGATACCCACTGATTCCTACTGATTAAACGGTTGGCGTCAGGTGTGCATATACTTGCTCCAAATGAAAGCTCGTGGCCATAGTATAGAAATATAGTCGCAAATGCATTAGGTATTATAGTGTCACTTTCGGGACAAAACTCCATTCTCCATCTCCATTTTTGTCATTTTTTGACAAAGTTCGAAAACCAGTTGACTATTATGTGTCATAATAAGTGCAAAATGCCATGAATAAATCATTTCTCCATTAACTTCCATTGATAGTTAAGAATGCTGTTTTCTTCTCCTGGAAAGTTGCCTTTTTAGAGATACAAGGTTTTATTCCAACAGCAACAATATACAGCCATGAGTAAGGCATGGATGCTGTCAAATAAAGTAAGGAAGAATGAGAATCTGTTTGTAACAGATATAACAGTTTATAATGGATGATGAAACATGGTAAAAATGATTAACCTAAAGTTAATTTCAGCTCACTCTTCATAGATTTATGACTCCATCTTAACAATGACCATGTTTTACCAAGTACATCTTGAATAGCTCATGGAGAGGTGAAGAGGACATGCCTTCAAGTTCTCTACTTTACCTTCACTGGAGAAGAAAGTTACAGCTAAACTTGCATTTTTTTTTTTGCATTGGTGTCTTTGGAATTGCAGTTCCATAAACATTACACAAGTTTTCATTCAATCACTTTTACATTTTAATCAATGGAGTAACATGATTGAACATTAATTACAACACTCTTTACCCCAACGTAGCATTTCAGCAAATACCTATTGAGATTTTTTAACAGAGTTAATGATTTTTAAATGCCTATTAATCTGATTTTTAGAAGCATTTCCTGCTGTTACAAAATCAGAGATCTGAAAATGTTTTAAGTTACATGTTTACAAAATTGACGGTTATTCATAGATGTAATAAAATTCGTTGGTCAAACATGATCATGTATTAAGATAATAACGACTAAAAATATTTACTGAAAATGTGTCCAAGATCCCTGAACATGAAAAGTACCCATAACTGTAGAATAAATCAATCAATCTGATCTACCATTTCCAGTTCCGTTTAGGATGAAGACAGATGGGCCAGAGGATGTGTTCTTGGTGAATAAAAAAGCGTTTACAGTGCTGTTGTCTTCAGCTCTCACAGCAACAGAGCTTTCAGCAACCTGCTCTGAAAAGGGATCACATCATTTTACCCAGTGTTATTAGACAAGCTGTGAGTGAAGAAATGACCACTAATTAAAGCTCAGTGGTTTCTACATGTATTACCATGATGCGCCTACTTAAGGTTAACCTGCCAGCTCAGTGCCATGACATTTTATTTGTAATTGTCATAAAAAGTGAATTGTCTCACATTTTGAAAAAAATTAAATCAAAATAAATAAGCTAATAGCACACATTCTTCTTCTCAACATATCATTATTATTATTATTTTGTGACTTTCCAAATTATTTACTGAGTTTCTAATTACTGGCTTTATCATCCTTGAGTGGAGTGTGACAAAACTTAAAAATAAAAGGGTTCCTTTCCTTTAACCCCTTAACAAGTCAGGTTTATTTCATACAAAGGCTTATTATTCAGTAGTTACAGGGACTTCAATGTAAAACTGATGGAGCTTTTCCTAGGTTGTAGAAGTGTGTAATAAAACTTTGACCCCGCTGGCAGGCCCGTGTCTTATTAAGGGGTTAATCTCTTTCAGGGAAAGCTACAGCTACATGGAAAGAGCCTCCTATTCATGCTCCTACAATTATTGTCATCTATTTTAATACTTGCAATGATTTTTAAGAAATAAAAAAGAAAGTGATGTCAACTTAAAAAAAAACAAAAAACAAATGAAATGTTCCTTACCTGTCCTTTTATCCACTGGAGTGTGTGTTTTCTGAAAAGCTAAGAAAGAGAAAACAATAATTGAGCCTAGGTGCCCTCAGTTTAATACTTATAGCACTCATAAAGAGTAAAATTGAGTAATGTTTTGGTATTTTGATCAATTACAATTATACATTATTTAAATAAGACAGTCACACATGACATATGTTGTTATTTTCAGGAGCTACTCAGATGTCATTATTTGACATGTGTTATCAGGTGTTATGAGGACTCTTATTTTACATTTGAACACAGTATTTTCAGCTCTATTAAACTGCTTCTTTGGGTCGAGAGATGTCATTATTTAACATGTAAACGCTAACAGAATTTTGATGTCTTCATGCAGCTTATTGGGATACAGCCCTGAACTTTTTTTTCAACAGACCCAGATCCTCTTTTGTGATTAAAAAAAAATCATTCATATATATCTTATATATAAAACAGCAGGTTTTATTTGGGTGGTGGATCATTCTCAGCACTGCAGTAACACTGATGTGGTGGTGGTGTGTTAGTGTGTGTTGCGCTGGTGCAAGTGAATCAGTCACAGCAGTGCTACTGCTGCATAGTAAGCTCACTACATATCTTGCTGCACCAACGAGAGCTGAACAAAGTAAATATTGGCTAGTCAAACACTACATAATGTATTTTACACTGAATGTCTCTTACCTGTTCACAGGTTATCAATGGCATCCTGTTTAACATATTTTAATGTTTTACCTTTTAAGACTACATGAAATCACTTTCTTCAGAAGTTGCAAAATAATACACATTTAATATCTCACTAATGGACTCACCTTTAAGAGATGGCAAATCATATCCCCAGACTTCTTCATCTTCACCATCCTGCCTGAGTTGTAACTTTATATTCATAATGTTTTCTGGTAAGTGTATCACAAATGTTGGATTGTCAGTGTTTTTATTTCTCAGGAAAAGACCGTCCTTCAAAGGGAATAAAAGACAAGCAGAAGTCCACATTTAGTAATGCAGTTTGATCTAATAGTTCTTCTTTAGAAAATCCTGTATTTCACCTTGTTTGTGTTGTATCAGTACTCACACTGGCTTTCACTTCTTGTTGCCTTTGTGGTGGGTCATTTTCTTTGCATGAGATATTGTATCGATGTTCATGTATAAGGTCACAGTCGCATGGTCCTGGTATGCGTTGGCTGCCGTCTTCACATAGCTAAAAAACATTAAATTACATTAATCAAAACAGTTAGCAACCTTTTCACATTTTTTAATATTTCAAGTATAACAAAGACATTATGAAGCTCTTAGAATTGGCTGAAATAAAATGGGATTAATGAAATCTTGGTGAATGTTTATTCAAATGCTTTTTAAACACTTTACCTTTTTAGGGTCCACATTCCAAGGGCGTAAAAATACATGCAGCCAGTGTTTCGGTAGTGGGTGATATATCATTATTACCTGTCCTCTGATCTTGGGTTTAAACAAATTACATATGTCTCTAAGCTGAAACCTTGAATTTCCTTGAACAGTCACTGTCACATGTGTATGTGTGATACACTCAGGTGTCAGGACCTCCTCACTGTCATCAGTGTAATGTCCCACAGTCATTAAGTTGCAGGCATCTTCTAGGAATCAGTGAAGAGAACAAGAATTCATCAATCACAATGTTTCAGTCTTATAATAAACTAAACCAATAAATAAAACCATCAAAGTATGTTTTTTGCATATACTGCTTGGCTCTAGGCATCACAATGTATAACACCCAGATAAAATCAAGCACCCAGCCATGCAGTTTGCCTTTACAAACAGTTATGAAAGAATGGGTCGTTCTGTGGAGCTCACTGAATTCATACGTGATGCTGTAATAGGATGCCACTGATGCAACAAGTCAGTTTGTGAAATTTTGTCCTCCTAGATATTCCACGATCAACTGTGAGTGGTATTATTGGAAAGTGGAAGCGTTTAGAAACCACAGCAACTCAGCCATGAAGTGTCAGGCCATGTAAAGTTACAGAGCGGGTCACTGAGAGCTGAGGAGCACAGAGCATAAAAGTCTCCAATGCTCTGCTGATCAATAACTGCAGAGTTCAAACCTCCTCTGGCATCAACATCAGCACAGAAACTGAGCACTGGGGGCTTCATGGCAGGGTTTCCATTGCCGAGCAGCTGCATGCAAGCCGTACATCACCAAGCATAATGCCAAGCATCGGCTGGAGTGGAGTAAAGCGCCACCACTGGACTCTGGAGCAGTGGCAACTTATTCTGTGGAGTGACCAATCAGCTTCTCTATCTGTCAGTCTGATGGACGAGTCTGGGTTTGGCGAATGCTTTAGCAGAATAAGACATTTTGGACAGTTGTACACTTCCAACTTTGTGGGAACAGTTTGGGGAAGAACCTTTCCTGTTCCAGCATGACTGAGCCCCAGTGCACAAAGCAGCTCCATAAAGGCCTGACTGGGTGAGTTTGGTGTGGAAGAACTTGACTGACCCTCACCTCAACCCTGACCTCAACCCCATCAACACCTTTGGGATGAACTAAAACAGAGATTGTGAGCCAGACCCTCTCGTCCAACATCACTGTCTGACCTCATAAATGCTCTTCTGGATGAATGGACAGAAATTCCCACAGACGCTCTCCAAAATCTTGTAGAAAGCTTCCCAGAAGAGTGGAAGCTGTTAGAGCTGCACAGGAGGACCAACTCCATATTAATGCCTATGGATTTAGAATGGAATTCATAAAAGCTCCTGTAGGTGTGATGTGTAGGTGTCCCAATACTTTTGTTTGAGGCATCCTCCCTCCCACTATAAGTGTCAGGTTTGAGATGTCTTGTGTTACTGATGAGCTGTTTTCACATTTTGATGAGTGTTGTGCGTATTGTGATAATGGCTTTTTACCATGTGTTAAAAACACTGTCACAATTTAAGATGGGCAATCACAGGTGAACTTTGTTATATATATAACCCATTCTCCAATTGACTGAAAGCGCCCTAACAGCCTCACCAAAAACAGAAAAGAGGACTTACCTTCATCAAGATCCCTGTTCTGAATGCTCTCTGTGTTGCAACTCCTGTCACTGGAACAACTGCCTTCGCTAGGATCTGAAATTGAAATTAAAACTAAGGATCAACCCTGGCTAAATAACATGAAAGAAAGATTTGCTTGCCTACCTCACTGGGTGAACAGTATTACTGCATAGTAGCTTATGACTCTTTCCTTATCTTTCCATAAGGTGACAAGGTAAGGTGAGCTTATCACACTCCAGTGTAAGGTGAGCTGTTACACTTACAGCTATATGGCTACATTGATACAGAAATGTGTTTTATTGCTTTGGCTTTGTATAGCAGAGACCTGAGCAGAGAAGGAACCCCTCTTTACCCGTTCCTTTGCTTCCCAAATCAGTAACACTTGCCACTGGACTATGTTACTGCTTAACATTGTGATGTGGTCATATCCTCTGGATGTCACCTCAGCCTAGGCTTTGGATTCTGTTCCATAAAAGGGCTACAGACAAACTACTTAGAGATGGAATTGGTATGGGATAACTGTTTCCTAATATTATTTTATAATACTGAGAGTCCAGCTATTGTTGACTCAAATTATGGAGGCTATGTACATGTGACCACTGTGAATTAATGAAGGCTAATACAGATTTATAACGTGTGACAACTATCCCCCAAACCTCCCTCATACACTGCTGGCAATTAAAATTGCAACACCAAGAAACACACGAGATATCAAAGCAATACTTATTTGGCAGATAGAAATACAGTTTGGTCATGCTTGCAGAATACACAATAATCAGTATCTGGTGTATCTACCGGGTATCTACCACAGACAGAAATCACCACTTAACACTGTATGTAATAAAAAGACTGGCTACTAGCTACAAAAATCTGTAATATCTCCAAAAGGTAAAGGTGTTACTAAGAACTGAGTTTCCAAATCCTTACATATGCCACAGTTACTATTTTTTTTTAAATAAAATACTATTCTATTTTATCAATTCTTTTATTATAAAGTAACAAATATAAAGGAACTGTACATCCAGATTTGCAGATAAAGTTGTTCGCTGTAGAGGTTGTGTTTACTTCTTTTCACTTAAAAAAAAGTCTACAAAATATGTAATTTGGACAGAGGTGCCCAAACTTTTGCATACAACCATGTCTATGCATAAGAATCCATTGGTGAACTTAGATCAGGAGTGTCAAACTTAAAACATCTCTGCAAATCCGTGGATCAGCCATGATCTGAACAGGTGATTGTTTGTTCGAAATATGCCAAAACTACAACAGTAAAAAAAAGGCACTTAATACTTATTCAAAAATAATTCTAAATAAAAATGAATTGTTTTAGGTAGTTTTTAAACTGCCTATTTGCTTGAACTAGACACCAGGCATCTTTTCTTTTTGTGTAACCGCTGACCCACAGATTGTTGTTGGGGGTCAGAACACACACTATGTTGCAGTGCATTCTGGGGACTGTAGTGTATCTCAGGGTGAAACGGGCTATAAGACTAGAAAATTATTTTAATTTTGTGGGCCAAATAGGACTGTGTCACAGGCCTGAATTAGCCCGGGCCTTGCGTTTGACACATGGAACTGACCCCAGGAACCAGCAACCCATGGTGGGGCAAGAATTAGTTGAACTGCAAATGCCCAAAGGCCAACCAAAAAGTACCAGTAGGAGGATCTTTGTCTGCTGAGTCACAGTCTGTCACTGCCCACAAGACCCACAAGGGACCAAGATATGGTGCTGTACGGCTGGCATGGGAATTGGGACTGTTCGTATGAGTGAAAGGGATTATTGTATGGTAGCTTGCTGGTCACTTATGACTGCTCTTTCCATAAGGAGACAAGGGAAACTGAACCACTCATCCACTGGTTCCACTCAGACCTCACCAATATGCATGAATAACAGAAATATTAAAAACGTTTCTTGTTTTTGATGAATGCCATAATTAAACAGAAATTATAAAAATAATATAATTATAATAGATGGATCATTAATAATAACACTATTTTTATGTTTGATACTAAAAGCTTCTATTCATTAAATGAAATAAAAATATGAATAGAGGACTTTTTACAGAGGTCATTTTTAGCAACACTTTTTACCTCTACTTTAACTCAAGCACAGGATTTGTGTTCATTGTCTACCACTACCAAAACTACAAATATGCCGTTAGTGATTTGAATGTATATTTAGCTTGTTCATAAACAGCTGTGCTGTGTGTAACATCAATGGCAGCAGGCTGAAGCAGTAATATTATTCCTGCTTCTTTTTGATGCATTTGATGCTTTACTTTAACAGTCTTAAGGCCATTTGTGTTACATATTACGTGATTTCATAAGTAAAAGAGTTCATGTTAAAGTATTGGAACCATTAGGCTGCATCTTAATGAGGCTATGATGCAATAATGATAATGTCGTATGCAACTCCCAACCTGTCCACTGGAGGTTGCACTAACAGCGGCTCAGTCACACACACCTGTCTCCTATTCTCCCTCATCAGCTTTCCTACAGAACTCTCTGTCTCAATTCACTCTTCACATTGTTATTGTGTCACTGCAATCCTGAGCCTTTTACCCATGAATCATTTGACTTTATGTTTTTTTTTTTGTTTGTTTTTGGCTTCCCTTTATGATATTGGACTTTGTCTTTAATTTTGGACTTTTTTGCCTCTGTCCCGACTCTGTTTTTGGACTATGCTTTCACCACTGTTACCTGTTCCTAATAAGACAGCTGTCGTTCTCAACTACAGTAGTGTACAATACTTCACCTTCTCCGTTCATTCTGAACCTAAGGTGGGTTATATTACAATGGAACAAACCAGCACGGGTGCACTGAAACCTATTGGTGAAAATGGTAGGAGAAAATGGTTATTTGTAGCATAAAATAAAGATTTTATGTGCTTTCAATCATTTCTTTGTCAACATATAATTCGGTAACAAATGTCTACACATCAGTTTAATGTTAATTTCCGAGAAATTCTGTAATATGAATCAGATTACCATTACCATTCTTTAATTTGAATCAGCCCTACTTTTGCAGAAGCAAACATGCATTCATATATTACCTGTACATTGATTGCCCCATTTCAGTTATCATTTCTGGATCGAAAGGGTCACCTTTCTCACTTTCTGACTCCTGTGAACATTAAAACATTATTATATTAGGCTTTAACTTGAAATGTGCCACATTTAAAGTCATGTAGACATATGAAATTTAGTATACCAAATATTAGTGCCCTAAAATGGATAGTAACCTACTTTAACCATTTTTAAGGAGGACGAAATTGCTGGGATTACCAGGTGCATGTTACCATTGTCTGAAATCATTTTCATAATCCTTTCCGAGAGGTCCATGGTTTGAGTAATCTCGGTGCCGGTGCCAGCTATGTAGAATGTGCATTTACATTTTTCTAGGAGCCACTGCAACTTACTCCCCCTTAAGCATGTTTCTTCATTTGTGAACAGCACGATGACGTGCTTCCAGAAACTTTCTCCAAAAATCTCCAAATCCTCTAGAACTTTTCTGGTCTCCTCAGTGAAATCTCCATCATGAAGAAAAGCAAGGACAATTGCATGGGGTCCAGGGACAAGAACTAATTTTTCCTGAATGAGAATTTTCTTGGCATTGCAGAGGTCAAATTCAACCATGCACACACTTTGCTTAGCCATCTTTCCTTTTAGAAGGACTAGTTTTCCACTGCCCACAGCTTCCTCACCATGGACATTGCTGCCTAAGATTACATTTCTAGCAGACTTTTCAGCTCCCTTGAAGCCTAAAGTCCAAATTCTCAACTTTGTGAACAGAGGATTTTCTCCTTAAAGAAAAAAGACATTCAAATGTTACATTTTTAAAAAAAGACCTTCAAATGTTATATTTTTCTAGATATAAAACAACATAGATTTAAATAAAAGGATACTAGAAAAAGCATGTTAGGGGGGATTTTGTATCATCTTTGCCATCTAATGGCACGATGAGGGTCAAGCACATAATATGGATAATGTCTACAATGGTTAGATTCTATCCTTCTTCTCATGGACTGGATAACATGTACAGGTTATAGCTGTACTTACCAATTTCAAAACCGTTAGACAAGGCTCTCTCATAAAACTCATCTGCCTTGAATTTTTCACCCCTCAGTTCATGAATGAATCCCTGTATTACACATGCTCTGCTGTCATCTGGATCCTTAGAAAATCGACGACTGGCAATTTTTCTGAGTTTTGTTTCACATTTCTTGTCCTTGATCTCTTTATTAACTACCTGCAGCCTTAGGCTCTTCATGTAATTGTAAATTGCAAGGTCCTCAGATCTTTTGCTGTACAACAGATATTCACCAAACATGGCAGATATTCACCAAACATGGCTACCTCTGGATGTTCTTTTTGTTCTTTAGTAAGTTGCAATGCCTGCTGAAAATGCTCCTCAGCTTTTGAAATCTCGTTCATTTGTCCATAATGCATTGCCAGTTCTGCCAAGGCAACAATGAACAAAGGCTTCAGTGAAACTGCCTTAACCAGATGATCTATGCACTTATACAGACAATACCATGCTTCATAGCAATTAGCTTTATAACATGGCCCATGTACCTTTTCTAAGGATATTTTTTTAGACTTGTAGCACAGAGCTAACTGATGATGTATGAAAGCTGAGTTGGGAGTGTGCTCGAGCGCTTTCTCCAGCTGGCAGATGGCAAAGTCAGGAGATCTCAGCTTACGACTTAATTGTGCCGCGTATCACATTACGTGTGGGTTTTCAGGTGACATCTCAAGTGCCCTCATCATCAAAATGACTGCTTTAGATTGCTTTGAGGGATCATGGATTTCAGACTTATGGCTAGTGGAACTCTTGTTTGTGCAGATTAGTTTTAAGGTCAAAAACAAAAGAAGTACAGCATCTTTTGGATTCAAGTCAATGGCACGTCTGAGTTGTACAACAGTCTGTGAATCCTGTGAACCTGAAGCGTCCTTTGTTGTTTGATACAAAACAATGGCATAACCAGCGTTTAGGTCACTGTCTTCTGGAGCAATTTCAAGAGCCTGTCTAAAACATTCTCTGGCTCCATTGTAATATTTTCTTGAAAACTTATGGAAGGCCCAGGCTTTTTCCCGGAGGACCTCCCTATGGACTTCATTACTTGATTTGTTAGAGAATTTCATATTGATCCTCTCCACTTGGCTCAAATAATTTTCAGCCAAAGTGAAATTTCCCATGTGGTAGTACAACCAGGCAAAATTCCCATACGTAACTGTGAGAAATTTTTCACTGTCCTCTGCATAGTATTCTTTTGCAAGTTCCTCTGATTTGTGAAGATGTGTTAGTGCTGCATGCAGATTACCATGTAGATAACAAACAAATGCCAGTGAGCTGTAAGCACGAGTCACTCTTGCTTCCCCAGATTCCAATTTAATCTGCTCTTCTAGGCGGTTCCCCAAGTCATAGAGATTAAATTCCTCTTCTCTCAGAGCCCAAGTAAAATGACATTCCAGATGAGGCAGTCTGGTCTTAAAGGCATCCATTAGGCTGTAAATTAAAAAGGATTTGACAATGGAAAAAAAAAAAATTAAATTCCAATAATATACTAAAAAGCTATATACATGTGACAAATGAGATAATGAAATGAGATAAAAAACAATGAAAACCCAAAAATGTGTAGCTGCTAAATGCAAATCATTGAAAGCTTAGATTTAATGAAATAATGAAAATAATAAAGACAAGATATCAAGTGTTGAAACTGAGAAATTGTATTGTTTTTTGAAAAATATTTGCCCATTTTGAAACTGATGCCAGCAACACATTCCAATAAAGTTGGGATGGGGACAACAAAAGACTAGTAAAGGATGTAATGCTAAAAAACACACCTTCTGGTTAATTGGCAACAGGTCAATAACATGTTTGGATATAAACAGAGCATCACAGTCTTTCAGAAGTAAAGATGGGGAAGGGTTCATCTTTGAAAGACTACAGGGGCTAACAGTGCAACAATTCAAGAATAACCTTTTTCAGCAGAAACTAGCAAAGAACTTGAGAATTTCATCATCTATGGTGCATAATATCATTAAAAGATTCAGAGAATCTGGAGAAAGCTCTGTATGTAAGGGACAAGGCCAAAAACCAGTACTTGCTGGGTGTGATCTTTGGGTCCTTAGGCGGCACTGCATTAAAAACAGACATGATTCTGTAGAGGAAATCACTGCATGGGCTCAGAAACACTTCTGAAAACCACTGTCTGTGAAAACAGTTCATCACTGCATCCACAAATGCAAGTTAAAACTCTAAAATGCAAAGAAGAAACTGTATAGAAACAGGATCCAGAAATGCCGCCACCTTCTCTGGGCCTGAGTTAATTTAAGATGGACTGAATTGAAGTGGAAAAGTGTTCAAAATTAATTTTTTTTTGGGAAATTATGGACACTGTGTCCTCCTGGCTAAAGACCACTCAGCTTATTATCAGCATACAGTTCAAAAGGCAGCATCTGTGATGGTATGGGGGTCTATTGGTACACATGGCATGGGTGATTTGCACATCTGTGAAGGCACCATTAATGCTGAAGGATATTTACAGGTTTTGGAGCAACATATGCTGCCATCCAGATGACGTCTTTTTCAGGGAAGGCCTTGATTATTTCAGCAAGACAATGTAAAACCACATTCTGCATAAATTACAACAGCATTGCTCCCTAGTAAAAGAGTCCGGGTGCTAAACTGGCGTTGCCTGCAATCCAGACCTGTCACAGTTTCCCCATTGTCCCCTGAGAGTGCCTGTTTCTTCCCATGTGTTGTGGCTATGTGCTTTTTAGCTTTTTTTGTGCTTTTGTTTTTGTTTTGTGTCCTTGTGCTCTGCCCTTTTCCCCACCTTCCCTATTAGGATTCTCATCTGTTTTTAGTCCATATCTCCTCCCTCTCCCAGGTGTTCCCTATTGTTTGTAGCCTATATCAAGCTCTTTGTTGCAGTCCATGGTTGTCTAGTCTACATGTCACTTTGTTACATCTAGTGGTAGTGTGCCTGTCCTGTGTTTTGTTTGCTCAGTGTGTTTTTGTTTAAAACCTTGTAGTTCGTTATTTTGTACTCAGTGTTTCTACTAGTTTTTGTTTATTGAAGTTAGCTCACGCTTCCATCCAGCCTCATTACTCACCACACATGAAAGTTGGGATGGGGACAACAAAAGACTAGTAAAGGATGTAATGCTAAAAAACACACCTTCTGGTTAATCGGCAACAGGTCAATAACATGTTTGGATATAAACATGTTACCATTCGGAATGAATGTATCGAGCTTATTCGAGGTACATAGGAGGCTCGTGACATGACAAGGCCTGTCACCCATTGAAAACATTTGCCGCATTATTAAACAAAAATACGAAAAAGGACACTGCGAACTGTTGAGCAGCTGAAATCAGGCAAGAATGGGAAAAGATTTTTTTAACCCCTTAAAATCCCAGTGTTATTACATACAAAACGTCACGTTACTGTTACCATAATGTTGAAAATCAATGAAAAGATGACGTTCATAAATTGTAATGTGCATTACAAAGGCTAAGATATGGCCCAAGTTATTTCTACAGCTCCTAATCTAAAGTGATGTCACAGTATCCTGTTCCTGTCTCCACCCTCTTCTGTCTGATCACATGTAGTCCCATTTTATCATGAGTGTTTCCACCTGTGTGTAGTTTGTTACCCCTTTCCCAGGTGGTTTCTGTTCTTGTTTTTGGTAAAAGAAGCTCTCATGTTTCAGTTCGCTTGTGTCTGGCACCCTTTGCTTCAATTTTTGTTTGCAGTGTTTGTTTTTGTCTTAGATTTAGCAAAAACAAAAAAAAACAGATTGACTCAAGTTTATTGAGGCTGTTTACGGATTAATATCTCTTGTTCGAGTGTATAGGAGTTTTCATTTTAGGTTATAGACAGCAAAAAATGTATAGATACTTTCCATATATCTTACATTAAATAGAATGATAGGATTATAGGTGACTTAAATATTGTGCATCATTTGTAAAACATGATAAAGAAAATCACTGCTGTTTATTAATGTTTACCAAATCATTTATATTCAGAAATAGTGAATAACATCTGCATTTCTGACTTATTCATCATGAAATAATTAACTATACAGTGACATAAAATGATTTATATTAACAAATGTAATTTTGGATAGTGCATGATTTGTTAAATATGAAGTAGAAGCTCATTACATTAATTATGCATAACTAAATAAATGATTATGATTAGTTTATTATGAAGTGACAGCTAATAGATGTCTTGTAAACTCATTATTATAAAGTGTTACTCAAAACATTTAGTTACAAAGTACTGAAGCAAACATTGTCAATTCATTTTATGCATGTAAATAGCATAAAAATATGCTATATTGAAGTATTTTGAAAGCAAAGATACAACCCATGGTTCACAAGCTATGTTCAGTATTTGATTTAGTTTCTATATTAAAGAAATATAACCTTCAAATATAACCTTTAAACTATTACTATAACCTTAAAATTACAATTGTACTCTATTGTCTCGCACTTGTGTTCCTGTGTTGGTTCTGGTGGACTTGTATAGAACTAAAATGGCAAGAAAGCCTGACCTGACTTTTACAACTTCTTTCGAAGTAACTTCTACATTGTACACCCAACACAGTAAAGCCTCAGCAATTAAACATACTAAAAGAATAAAAAAAGAAACTCCCAGCCACAACTATACATTTTCAAACAAACATTTTAAATCTTAAATATGCATGCATAAATAATATTTGACTGGAGTAGTGAACCAACTACAACATAACACAAAGTCAAAGTCACATTTCTGTCTTCTTTTACGCTGTTCAAAGCTATGATTGTGTGCATTACAAAGTGCATTAACTCTTCAGGAATTCAAGAAAGTATAACCAAAAGTAAAAACACCCAAAACTTAAAATGACCTATTGAATAACTTTACAAATGTTACTTAAGGGCTCATTACATATGTAGTGCATTTATCCAAATAGCATTTAAAATGAAACTTACCTCATTTTTGCATTTATTTTCATACAAAACTGGAACACAGCATAATTAATCGGCTGTGCGCAAGTTAAAAATCTGACACTGTAGCCTCTACACTACACTACACTGACACTGACTACACAAGAGAAAACAGGTCTAGCAGTGTCTACACTAATCATCAGGTGCAGCATGAATAAACATTGCCCTCTGTATTGGAAGGGGTAAGTTAAAAGCAGCTGTATCATAGGTAAGTCTGAGGCCCAATCCCATTTCACCCCTTGCCCCTACCTCTTAGCCCTACCCCTCCGTTTTGTGTGTTCATGCCTAGGATTAGGGTGTCCCAGTTTTTATTGAGATAGAGGGGTAGGGCGAAGTGTTTGGGCTACATCGCCCTTCAAACGGAGGTTTTTCAGAGACTCCAAACAGAGTGTTATGAGAAAAAACAGAAAACCCAGCAAGATGTGTTCACTTTGTGTTTGACTGTAAATGTTCTTTATAAAATAAGGACTGCCCACAAACTGCCAAACCGCCAAACATTTTTGCCCCAATTAGTCACGAAAACAGGAAATTCTGGTCTCACGACTCTTTGGTGTTTTGTACTTGTTACATGAATGATCATTAAGTAGGCTGTGTTTTTGCTTGCGAGTGACAATGCTTATGGAAACTGATGTCTCAGTTTGGCACTAACTTGCTTTAGGATAGTGTACCGAAAGGCTGTCTTTAAACCCCCAAAAAATTGGGATACTAGGTAAAATGCAAATAAAAACAGCGTTGAAGCAGTGATTTATAAGTCTAGTTAGCCCTGTATATGAACAAAAACAGTACAAAGACAAGATATGTAAGGTTTTATCTTCTCAGCTTCATTGTTTTTTGTAAATATGTGCTCATTCTGAAATTGATATGTTGGGACAGAAGCAATTTAAGACTAGATGCAATGTGAAATGTTCAAAACACATCTTTAATGGGTCATGAATATAGAAGGAGAATTCACAAAAGGCTGAATACTTTGAGGTAGGAAAATTAATTTCTGTACTAATTTTTGCTTATATTAGCATCTGATATGTTCCAATTTTTTTGAAATTGGGTTTAGGTACATTGTCTTTATCACAACAGAAGGACATGGTGTGGCAGAGTAGAAATGCCATGGTTTGCCCTCTATGGTGGTCCATTTATGCAGATCCCTATTCCTGCTCTTGCCCCTGTTAGACTCCCAGTTCCATGTGCTCTTCAGGTTGTGTTTGGGTTTCTTTTCTCCACCTATTTATCCACCCTTGTCCCGCCTATAAACATTGTTGCCACCTGTGTGTAGTCAGGGTTGGGACAGCTACTGAAAAATTAGTAGTTAGCTACTTTGTAGCTACTTTCCCAAAATTTGTAGCAGCTACAATTTGGCTACTTTTTGAAAAGTAGTGCACTACTTTTTAACTACTTTAAGAGCGTGATTGTCAAAATGTTTGTGAATCTCCACCTGACACACTAAACAAGCCAAACTGATAGTGTGAACAAGACACTGCATTTAATCATGAGCCAGAAAGAAACATAGAATAGAAATGCTGCAAATATACAAAAAGATCACCAAAAAGTAAGTTTAAGCATAACCAACAATCAAACTTACACAACCAAAGTCGTGATATCCAACAAAAATCTAGACTAAGTATAGGCAAAGTCAATCATTCCAGGTTTTTCCTAACAAAGATCAACAAAAAAAACCAATAACCAAACAATTGTGTGCAAAGCATCGTTAACTGTTGAAATAAAACTGCTCCAATTTAAACATTTCAGCAAGATGTACAGACACGACATGAGTCCTTTATTAAACTTAAGCAACGCTTTAACCTCAAAATCCTTATCAGTGACTCTGTTTGGGGTGAGAATCACACTGTTCATTGATTTAAGTTCAGCATTTAACACAGTGATCCCCTCCAAGCTGATCTTAAAGCTCAACCAGCTTGGTATCTGCACATCTCTGTGCAACTGGATTCTGGACTTCATGGCTGACAGAGCACAGTCAGTTAAGTTAGACAAACTCTTCTCCTCCCCATCACCCTGAACACTGTGCTCAGCCCTCTTCTGTACTCCCTGTTCACTCATGACTGTGTTCCTGTTTATGACTCAAACTCTATAATTAAGATCGCAAATCACACCACAGTGATAGGTCTGATCAGAGGCCTACAGGGATGAGATGCAGCACCTGGCAGCATGGTGTGAGGACAACAACCTGGCGCTCAACACCCAGAAAACCAAGGAGATCATAGTGGACTTCAGGAGGGTCAGGAGCCAGGCACACTCCCCCATCTACCCCTGCGGAGCTGAGGTACAGTGTGTCTGACTTCAAGTTCCTTGGTATCCACATCTCTGATGATCTCACCTGGTCCCTAAACTCCTCCATCATGTTCAAAAAGGTGGAACAGCATCTTTACTTCCTACGGACCCTCAGGAAAGCTCACCTGTGTCCCAGGATACTGGTAAAATTTTAACCATTGTACCATTGAGAGCAAACTCACAAACTGCATCTCAGTGTGGTTTGGCAACTGCTCCACATCTGACTGCAAAGCGCTCCAGCGGGTGGTGAAAACTGCCCAACACATCACAGGTGCCCAGTTACCCTCCACTGAGAACATTTTCCATAAGCGCTGCTGGGCAGGGCGAGGAAGATCATCAAGGACGTTTCTAATCCTAACCATGAACTATTTACCCTCATCCCATCTGGCACACATTACAGGATCCTCCGCTCTGCACCAACAGGCTCAGGAAGAGCTTCTTCCCTGAGGCTGTGACCCTCCTGAACCCCACACCACCACTTTAACTGCATCACTGCACTCACTGCACTGATGTTGTACTTTATATCCTAGTGTTATTGTACTATTCATATTTGCACCAACAGTCACTGTACAAGTTTACTCTGCATACTTTTACATATGCTGCTCTCACAGGACCTACTACCTCATTGTACGCTCTCTACTTACTCTATATACCTCAATATTATATTTATACTCGCATATCTATGTTTTTTTTTTTTTTACCACTATTGCACTTTATATGTAATTAATAATGTATTGTGCACTTCTGGTTAGATACTAACCATATTTCATTGGCTCTGTACCTGAACTCTGCACTATGACAAAGTTTAATCTAATAATCTAATAACTTCTTTATCGCACTCAATTAGAAAAGCTAATGTTTATTTGCGCAACTTTTTTGACCAAATAAGCCAAGGAAATGTTAGCAGATCAGCCAATGAGGTGTCGTGTTAGAAGGAGAGTGACTCAAAATGGAGGAAGAAGAACAGCTCCAAGGTCAGGTAGGCTGATCAGACATTATTATGGACTGAAATGATGCTGTTATTTTAGTAAAGTGTGAAAATGTAAAGGTACAAGAACAAAACAGAAACAGTGTCTTCAGCAAGACCAGATCAGCTCAGAGCTCCGTTTACAAACCTCAGGAGGGCTTAACTGCCAATGTTTTTGACGTTAATGAGGAGAATCTTAACAAGAACACTCTCTAGCTGCTGGCACACATGCTAATGATTAGCGTTATCTTCCTAGGCAGCTTTCGGCACTTTGTAAACACTTCACAAAGGTGCTAATTGTAAAATATGAATGGTGCTGTACTAGTTTCTGTTCTGGTGCTAATAGTGCTCTGTAATAGTGACCATAGTGACTTTCTCCTCACCTGAGCGATAGTTTAAAACTGTTGGAGAGAGACCGCGAGATCCCCACAGTGCACTTTGCTCAGAAAGAGAAAACAGAAATCAGAGATGAACTCCTGATCTGCAGCGGAAGCATTCACCCGTCCACTTTTCTCTCTCTGAGGAGTTTAGTTAACCAAAAAATTCCTTTTTTAATGCTGTCGTTCTCCTGTTGGTGTTCTAGATAAAGAGGAGAGGAGTTCAGTCTTCCAAACTAGAAGTGATCCACAGTCAGAGCTCCGCCTGAGGGCTGTGTAAGCTAAACTGAGTTCGCTTCAGCTGAAGGAGATCTTATGGTTTAAACTCAGCGGCGTCTCTTAAATCTAAAGGCCTTTAATTAGTAATGAACTCCACTGGCTGCTGGTGATGAGGGACAGTGTAGAACTGCGCCATCTGCTGGTGATGAGGAAAAACAGAGTAGAACTGCGCCATCTGCTGGTGATGAGGAGGGAAAGCACAGAACTGCACCATCTGCTGGTGATGAGGAGGGACAGCGCAGAACTGCACCATCTGCTGGTGATGAGGAGAGACAGTGCAGAACTGCGCCACCTGCTGGTGATGAGGAGGGACAGCGCAGAACTGCACCATCTGCTGGTGATGAGGAGGGACAGCGCAGAACTACACCATCTGCTGAGGAGGGACAGCGCAGAACTGCACCATCTGCTGGTGATGAAGAGAAACAGTATAGAACTGCGCCATCTGCTGGTGATGAGGAAAAACAGAGTAGAACTGCGCCATCTGCTGGTGATGAGGAAAAACAGAGTAGAACTGCGCCATTTGCTGGTGATGAGGAGGGAAAGTGCAGAACTGCGCCATCTGCTGGTGATGAGGAGGGACAGCACAGAACTGCGCCATCTGCTAGTGATAAGGAGGGACAGTGCAGAACTGTGCCATCTGCTGGCAATGAGGAGGGACAGTGCAGAACTGCGCCATCTGCTAGTGATGAGGAGAAACAGTGTAGAACTGCGCCATCTGCTGGTGATGAGGAGGAACAGTATAGAACTGCGCCATCTGCTGGTGATGAGGAGGGATAGTGCAGAACTGTGCCCACTGCTGGTGATGAGGGCGGACAGTGCAGAACTGCGCCAACTGCTGGTGATGAGGGTGGACAGTGCAGAACTGTGCCAACTGCTGGTGATGAGGAGGGACAGTGCAGAACTGTGCCCACTGCTGGTAATGAGGAGGGACGGTGCAGAACTGTGCCAACTGCTGTTGTGTATATTGTGTCACTCACCTTAGCACCTGTGTAAATGTGATGTGACAATAAACATGATTCATTTTGATTAGTGTGATTTGCAACCATTTCTTAAAAAAGCAAATGACAGCACCATCGACACGTTGCAGAAAAAACACATTGTGCATCATGCCCTGGATTACGGAGACTGAAGATTCAGAAACTCACTGCGTCAGAAGTGACAAGCAAAGTTTGCCACAAGTGGCACTCAGAACAAAATCCACTCTTAGTGTACAGTTGTAAACCATATTTTTAAAGGAAAATGCTACAAAGACAACATATCAAATGTTGAAACTGAGAAATTTTATTGTTTTTGAAAAAATATATGCCCCTTTTGAATTTGATGCCAACAACACATTCCAAAAAAGTTGGGACGGGGGCCTGTTTATCACTGTGTTTCATTACTGCTTCTTTTAACAACACTCTGTAAGTGTTTGGGAACTGAATAGACCAATTGCAGTAGTTTTGAAAGTGAAATGTTTTCCTGTTCTTGTTTTATATAGGATTTCAGCTGCTCATCAGTTCGGGGGCTCATTTGTCATATTTTTCATTTCATAATGGGCCAAATGTTTTCAGTGGTGACAGGTCTGGACTGCAGGCAGGTCAGTTTAGCACCCAGACTCTTTTAATACAGAGCAATGCTGTTGTGATACATGCAGAATGTGGTTTGACACTGTCTTGCTGAAATAATCAAGGCCTTCCCTGAAAAAAACATGCATATATCGTTCAGCATTAATGGAGCCTTCACAGAAGTGCACGTCACCCATGCCATGCACACTAATGCCCCCTATACCTTTTTCTTTTTGAATCCCGTATGTACACCCTTATCCATAGCCCAGTAGGTGAAGGTTACCCTTAATTTCCTTACATTTCTGTGTGGCCCTATTTTAGGTAGGAGGTTACAGCGCAGCACTGGCAGAGGATGCAGGTGCAGCACTGGCTGAGAATGTTGGGAGGCCAATACACTGCAGTACCTTCCCCAATTTGAGTTCCAGACCCAGTTGGAGGGTGCTTCAAGTCTCATAAAACTGAGAACAACTTAAACATCTGAAAAACACACAAATGCACAAAGCTGCCTTGTATGCCGTTTATTTAATGTGTTTCATGCCTCTTAATGTGTTTTTTTAAATACTTTAGTGGCAGAGAGGTACATACTGGGTGACATAAGGTAAAACGGTCCCCAAAAAGAGATTATTTGTTTCAGATCTATCACTATTTTCCCATCATCAACGTTCAATATAAAACTCAGAAGACAACTGTAGGTTCACCGGTGGTTCTGGATAGTAAATAAAATGCCTATATTTGTGTTGTAGTCATGGCGACCCCTGGTTCCTATCACCACCACTGTAAAGACATCTGAACCATTTCACATCAAACCACTCTGAATCTCTGTTTACATCTCAAAAGGTAAATTATGCAGTAAAAAGCTGTAAAATTCCCCTTTAAGCTTTGAAGACAGAGATCATGTTTTTCCTACCTTCTATCTAACGGCAACAGATTATCAGTTAGAGACTGTTCTTTATAATGAATATATGAAATTGCATTGGATTGCCATTTCTATTCATTCGAAATTAAAATGCATTTAAAATACATGTTCTTTTCATTATTTGCTCTCTGATGAAAAATATACTAGGGATAACTAATAATTATAAGTTTAACATAAAATATAATGGCTGTGATGGTGGGGTATGTTGTCAAAAATGGACAACTTGTATTCAAAAAGCGAACATACCCATGAAATAATTGCATGATGGAATACATAACAGACGACAGACAAAAGAATAAGAGTGGAAGAAAAATGTGACAATAATTCCTAGATTCCCTTAAGCACTACTTTTGTAAACTGAATGAAGCTGAAGTATGAATGAACTCTCTCATGTGTTATATACAACCCCATTTCCAAAAAAGTTGGGACGCTGTGCAGAATGTTAATGAAAACAAAATGCAATGATGTGCAAATCATTTAAACCCTATATTTCATTGAAAACAGTACAAAGACAACATGTCAAATGTTGAAACTGATACATTTTATTATTTTTTGAAAAATATTTGCCCATTTTGAATTTGATGCCAGCAACACGTTCCAAAAGAGTTGTGACGAGGGCAACAAAAGGCTGGTAAAGTTGTGTAATGCTAAAAAAACACCTGGTGGTTAATTGGCAACAGGTCAGTAACATGATTGGGTATAAATGAACATCTCAGAGAGGCTGAGTCTTTCAGAAGTAAAGATGAGGAGGGGTTCACTACTCTGTGAAAGACTGCACCATCAAATAGTGCAACAATTCAAGAATAACATTTCTCAACATAAAAAACATTTGATTTTAATCATCTATGGTGCATAATATCACTAAAAGATTCAGAAAATCTGGAGAAATCTCTGTATGTAAGGGACAAGGCCAAATACCAGTATTTGCTGGCCGTGATCTTTGGGCCCTCAGGCAGCACTGCATTAAAAACAGACATGATTCTGTAGTGAAAATCACTGCATGGGCTCAGAAACACTTCTGAAAACCACTGTCTGTTTATCAGGGAAGGCCTGTAAAACCACATTCTACATGTATTACAGCCGCATGGCTCCTTATTAAAAGAGTCTGGGTGCTAAACTGACCTGCCTGCAGTCCAGACCTGTCACCACTGCAAACATCTGGCGCATTATGAAATGAAAAATACAACAAATGAGCCCCCGAACTGATCAGCAGCTGAAATCCTACAAGAATGGGAAACATTTCACTTTCAAAACTACAGCAGTGTCTTCTCAGTTCTCAAACACTTAAGTGTGTTGTTAAAGAAGAGGTGATGAAACACAGTGGTAAACAGGCCCCCGTCCCAACTTTGTTGGAACGTGTTGTTGACATCAAATTCAAAATGGGTGTATATTTTTCAAAAACAATAAAATTTCTCAGTTTCAACATTTGATATGTTGTCTTTTCCTTTAAAAACATGGTTTACATGATTTGCATATTATTGCACCCTATTTTTATTTATATTCTGCACAGCATCCCAACTTTTTTGGAAAAATTGTGTATGTGTATGTATGTGTATATATATATATATATATATATATATATCCACAAAAAAATGACATATAGTAGATACATTATATTTCTTGTGTACAAAAAGCGTTAATCTGTAAGAGAGTGCACAATGTAGTCAGTTAGAACAAGTAGGACTCATTCTGATTAGAAAACTACCTGTCTGTCTGCCTGCTTGTCTATCTATTTTTCTATCCATCTATGTCTTTCTATCTATTTATCTATCTTATCTATTTACATATCTATCTATCTATCTATCTATCTATCTATCTATCTACTGTATGATGGGGGATTTGTACCTTACTTGCAGTTGCTGAAATTCCCTCCACCAAGTAATCATTTAAAGTCATTTAAAAGGAACCATCGTCCTTTAGAGATTATAAAGAGTAACAATTCTCACTGTACTGAAAAAATTTTTATACATCACATCATGATCTTAAATTCAGATGCTACATGCCCACAGACTGCTAATCTGGCCTCACTCACACTGCACTGCTGTAATTAAGCACCTGCAGTGGGACCTCCCACACAAATAAAGTAACATGTTGAAATTGCTGCATGTTTACAATGTTTTCTATTAATATTTTGGAACGTAATGAACATATTTCCTTTTCCTTGGGGTTATAACGTCTGATAAGTCTTTTAACAGCGCAGCTTCCTCTTTAAATCTTTCACTGCTGGTCAAGTCCAACTCCAGAAGTAACCTGATCCAGTCACCGGAAGACCCCCAAACCTTTAGCAGCACAGCTTGGCACAGCTAATCATGTCTGGGGACACAAGCGGCAGCAACCTGTGCTCTGTGGATTTCGAGATATATGGACATGTTCAGGGTATGTACTCTTATTCCTTTTACTGGCCTGCACTTTATAGACTTCAGGCCCAATGATGGCTGCAGAACCTGGAATTCTTTCTTATTTTAGACGCATCACAGAGCAGCTGATTTGTAATCTTGCACTGTGTTACATAAGAACAGCACTGTGGAGTGTACAGGGCCTTTGCTATATTAAGAGATACCAGTTAGAAGGAAAACCAACAACAGCTTTCATCTTGCCCTAAATCTAGTTGATCAGTCAAGATATGATTGGTGTCCCAGTTCTTTAGTTTTGCACTGGAGCTACAGGGCTGATCCTGCTAAGAAGCAATGCAAGTTTATGTGCACCAGTTAGCATTGTGCAAACTACATGCCTAAATCATCAGACACCTGCCTCAAACCCTGTTGATTTATTTTTAGTTATGCAAAGTACTTTCTGTCCATTTAAAAATGGACAAACAGTCAGAAACCACAGGAGCATGTCTATTAAAAGGAATAACTCATTGCAATTTGAGGGAAGTGTGTGATGATTTAGTTATGCTAATTGGTGGCTATTAGCTTCCACTGCTCACTAGCTACATTAGCCTCGTAGCTCCAGTGTAAAAATAATGAAGCAAACTTTGGTCACCTAACATGGCTTGACTGATCAGCTACGCTGATCGCTTATTTCCGGTGCCGCCGTCTGTTTTCACACATGCTCAGACTGAGAAATCTGAAAGAAATCAGAGTAAGAGTTCTCATGCACTGAGAAATCTGATTACTGAGCGAAAATCCAGCTCTCTTTATCAGATTTCTTAATCATATTTCTAGATCTTACTATGATCTGCTGCCATTTATTAAATGCATCTAAACACACTCAGTGACTAACTGCATGTTTCATTACATAGTTAAGCCAAGACATTACTTAGGCTTCTCGAAAAGTGGTATATAAGACTCACACATGCATTAATGTATACAGATCTACAGATTATGTCACTGACTGTTGTATTTATAATGCATGTAGTTCTTACAGTTTTTCATAACATGGTACAGTAAATATACTGACATGTTTTCTCCCTTTGGCGCAGGGGTCTGTTTTCGTATGGTAAGTACATCTTGAGTACACCTCAAACTGCTGTTTCCTGTGTTTAAACATATTTTATTGCCTCTTACCATGTGCTAAAATGTACAGTTTACCATGACAGACTGTTTCTGTAGTGGCAGAGCTGCCAAACCTCACTGCCTAAGAACAGTGATGTAGTACTCAGGGAACAATTTTCAAGATTTGTAACTTAATTTGGACCCGTTTATTCATGACTGGAGACTTTGATCAAAATTTGCATGCTCTGATATCATTGCTGTCCAAAAAAGCCCCAAATATCTTAATTCTTCAGGTTTTTAGCTTTCTGCATTTCAGCTGTCTGTTACAATGTGTGAAAATTTCACAATCATTTGACCAACAGAAATGCTCTACAATTGTTTGGAATAAAATCTTTTTACAGTAACTTACATGAAAAGTTAAAAACATTTTTGAACGTTCCTGTAAAGTTACCATTTGTGTGGTTTCATGTAAAATCCTCATTCTAGACAAACACACTGAACATTGTTTACAGCGGTGGTGGTGACATCCAGCTGTAAAAGTTTACAGAAAATTATTGCAATTTGTTATGAATATGTTGCCTGATACCTGAGACACTGTTCTATGATAGTTTTGAAATACGATTTTGGCCTAAAACCAATTTTGAAATACATTTCTGTTAGTTCTAAATGAGTTCATATTTTTCATGAAATGCTAAAATGTCTCACTTTCAACATCTGATATGTGTTCTATGTTCTATTATGAATAATATATGAGTTTATGAGGTTTGCAAACCATTGCATTCTGTTTTTATTTATATTTATTTACATTTTACACAGCGTCCCAACTTTTTTGAAATTGGGGTTGTAGTACACAGATTTACCACTATTTTACTATCATCAACATTACATTAAAAATGAAGAAGCTTCACTGGTTGTTTGGGTGTTTGGGTAGTAAATAAATCAGCTATATTTGCGTTGTTGGCATCACAACCCCTGGTGCCCATCACCACTACTCTGTCACCAATCAGTCTGTTTCAATGCACCATTTCATACCAAACCACTCTGAATGTCTTTATCTAAACAACTGAAATATGTAGAACTTCTGAAGAATCACTGGAATTCACCTTTAAGGCCTTTAGACTTAACTTGGAGATGACTTAGACTTTACCTTGAGAGCTGTTGACCCAACATGGACATGGAAAGTAAGGGACTTGACCACAGCACTGCTGTAACAACAAAACAAGTTTATTTTAATCCTAATCTACCATGTAGCCTAGATCAGGTATGTCAAGCTGGCTTCCGGGTTACAAACTGCAGAGGTTAGTGTTTTCCCTCATCTAATGCCTTGAATTTAACTCCTGAAGGCCCTGCTAGTTAGTATTAAGTTGAATCAGGTAGGGGTGGGAATCACCAAAGGTCCCCACGATACGATATTATCACGATACTTCAGTCACAATATGATATTATTGTGATTTTAAACATTTTGCGATAAACATATACTGCAATTTTTTAACTGTCCTCCAAAAAAAACCTTGTATAAAAACGCTGTGACGGAGTCACATACCTGGGTTCCAGTGTCTTGAACATGTGACAAAAGCCTTCGTTTTCCACAAAGCTGTATGGATGCAGGTCTTTCCCATGAAGTAGGTGATAGACTGAGTTATTTTCTAAGCTCGGTCAGAATTGGAAGGTAGTTTTATCAAGCTGAGTGTGTCCAGTGTTGGTTGTTTTTTCAGTGGAGCTGATTTAACGTTGGCTTTGCCGTCTCTGGGTGGTGACGTGTGAGGTCAGCCCTCATGTTAGTACAAGTTATATTCATGTCCTCCGTCTCTTCCTTGTTACAAAATTAAAATTAAGTCCAGATGTTTGATTAAAACGCAGATGGTGCATTTCTGGTTTCTTTCTCCAATGCCGCCATCTTTGTTTTGGCCAACTTTTTCTGCTGATCGTCACCAGAAAGAAACTTAGCACCATCTAGTGGGCCAAAAAAGCAAATGATTTTATTGTTCTAGTACCAAAAAGTTGAATTTGTATTTGCAATTTCTATAGTAAAATACTGATACTTGGCATCTGTGTATTGGTACAATATTGCCACGCAAAATATTGCAATAATATGCTGTATCGATTTTTTTCCCACCCCTAGAATCAACTGTTTAATGAAAATACTGAAGTCTGCAGTGCTGTGACCTGCGAGTACTAACATATTACAGAGAGGCATGTTAGATTAGGTTTGGACCCCACACTCAGGACAGTACACTACTATACTCTGTAAACAATAATTGTGAGGGGAATTCCACTGATTTTTCAAAATGTCTTAATAATTAAACTTTTAGAATGTAATCACCTCTGAAAGCAACCACATAAGTAAAACACTGTACAAAATAGCCAGACATCGACACATTGTTTTATAATAGTTTTGTTATAAGCTTTTAGCTTAAAGCACATTTTTAAAGATGCATGCAGGGCACACTGAGACAAAGTAGCACCCAAAGAAAACCTTTTTTTAGATTTCCCCATCATCAACATTATATATACACACTCAAGTGTAGGTTCACTGGTGGTTTTGGATAATAAATAAAATGTCTATATTTGTGTTGTAGTGATCTCGACCCCTAGTTCCTGTCACCACCACTGAACAGTCTGAATGGCTCTGTACACATCTCAACAGTTTAAAGGCACAATTTGTAAGATTTAATGGCATCTACTGGTGAGTCTGCAGACTGCAACCAACTGAATTCCCCTCCCTCACCCCTCCCTTTCCAAGCATGTAGTAAAACACATGCTGGCCGTCAGGTTTTCTGTTGTCGCATGTCCCGATATCATTTTGCTTTTTTTTAATGTTTTTTGTTTTTTTGACGATGAGGATTCATTCCTCCTTGTTTTTCTTGTACTAAATGCTAAGTCTGATCCTCCATTTGTCAAAATTTGAGTTCCTAAACTTCTCACAACACAAAATGGTCAGCCAGAAATGGCAGCAACCACTGATTCTTCTTTTTTCTATGTCTTCCAACCAGAGCTACAGCGCCATCCAATTGAAGCTGCCTCTTCAACATAAAAAACCAAAAGGCGCCCTCTAGAGTCAGTGTTTGGTTTGTCCGTTCTGGACCACTGTAGAAACATGACAACACAACATAGCAGCCTCTGTTGGAAGAAACCCGCTTCCTATGTAGATATGAAGAGCTTATTATAAGCTAACGAAACATGAATCGTACTTGCAGGTGATTATACACTAATGAAAACACGTATTTGTTACTATATTCTATTTGAGGATCTCTCTGTTTGTCTGTCTGTCTGTTTCTCTCTCTTTTCTCTCAGTACACAGAGAGAGAGGGACTCACCCTGGGTTTGGTGGGCTGGGTGAAGAACACTAACAGGGGGACAGTGGTGGGGCAGGTGCAGGGACCCCGTCAGCAGGTCAAAGAGATGTGAGTCCATCACACATACAGACTAGCTTACAGGCCACATACCACCATCAAGCCTTACTGCGTTACAATACTCACTATTTAAAATCATTACATGACAATTGCATCCAAGTGATATTCTTTGTACCATCCTATTAGGTTTTTAACTCAACTGTAACATTTTAAAAGTCCATTTCATTAATGAGGTAATAATAAAATGAATAAAATGAACTCACTTCTAAACACTCACAGTTACTGCGAGCCATAAAAACAGCATGTTGTAATAGTAAGATTCTGCCCTTCAAACATTACCAATATTTTATTGGTATTTGAATTGGATGAGTATTGTAGTAGGATTTGAATTTGATGCCGTGTGTATGATGTTCCTTTGTGAAAAGAAAAAAAAATGTTTTTGTCATTTTTTGACATCTAAATAAATGGTACAGTGTGATAGACAAAAAGTTATTAAGCCCCTCAAATAAATGTACATCATTAGTTCAGATCATAAGTAGTTTTTCCATCCATTGTTCCACTTTGGTAACAGGATGCAAAGAACTGTTGGTGGCGCTGCTCCTCTAAATTAGCGCTGCCTCGGCTGTGCTACTACAGATTTACTAACATAACATGAGAGGAGATGGCAAACCTGCTGATTAGCATCAAGGAGAAGGGTAACGCCAGCTCAGCCGATCATATCAGACTTTGTATGTTGTAAGCCAATCATATCAGACCAGGGGAAGGGGCTCTGGTGCTACTTGCTCTGCAGAGTAACGTCAGTCGGCAACCGCTGAAGTTGTCACAGGATTTTAGTTCAAGGAAATGTTTCTGGAAGACTCAAAGGGCTCAAAGTGGATGGAATATCTATGATGGAACAACACTTACAGAAGTAGATCAGACACTCACATTCCAAGTTCATGGTTAACCTGGCTGGCTAGTTTGCTATCTGACGCCACAGCTGTGCTGTGGTAGTTCTCTTGTGTTACTAGTTTAACCTTTACACTAGGGGTGCAACGATTATTCGAGTTAGTCGACTAAAATCCACGACCAAATTAGTTGGCAACTAATTTAGCAGTTGATTAGTTGGTGACGTCATTACGCGTCTTTCTTGGAATGTTTTGACATTACCGATTACTGGAGAGTTACAACAGCACGATGGCAGAACAAAATCCTCAAAAGTGTGGGAGCTAAACTCAGAAAACAAGCTTGTTTGTAAAGCCGAGCTTAGCTGGGAGCTCATCCTCCATGATGGAGCATCTGAAGGGGAAACTCGGCTCACTGGATGAAGAAGATGCATCTCGGTAAGATACGCTGCGTCCCAAACCGCATACTAGCTCACTACATAGTGTGTAAAAATAGCCTATATACCATTAGAGGTGCACATTAGTGTAGTGTGTGAAGTACAGAAGTGTGTGGTTTGAAGCGTTTACACAAAATCGTTCACATTTAACTGTTCATAGAGAAGTTCGCCACTTTGCCCTCCGCTCCATCAGAGCGCCTCTTCTCTGCAGTGGGGAGTATCAGCTCTCTGAGGAGAGCGAGACTCTCACAGGAGCACAGAGAGATACTGACTTTCCTCCGTTTCAATAAAGACCTGTGATTGTAGAATTTAGTTGCAGCGGAGTTTAGACAGACAGCAGAGCACGGACTGCACTGTTTACATTTAACATTTAAATTTAGATTTCCTTTTTTATTTATTTGATTAAAGAAAAACTGATTTAGTTTGTTATATTTTATTGCTGCTACTTTGTACATGTAATTTTGACAGGAAAAAAGACACTGAAGTTCCTTTTTTATCTTTGTATTAACAGGAAAGTTGATTAAAACAGTGAATTCTTGAATGTTATTCATCTTTGTTGTCTTCACTGTTAGCAAATGTGTAAAACAACCTCAAGCTAAATTTAAAAGCTAAAAACTACATAAAAGTTCGTTGGTAATTTAGTGATTCATAATCCGAATAATCGATTATTCGTTTCAGTAATCGATAGATTATTCGACTATGCAATTAGTCGTTTGTTGCAGCCCTACTTTACAGTTTACTAGTTTACACTCTACAGCTAATTCCTATTACGATACAGTGATGTCAGTAATCTGCTCAAATAAAAGTTAGCTGACTTTTATCGGTGAATGTTTGTACTGCGTAGAATTTAAAAGTCTGAATGGCTCTGTCCTCTTTGAATGTCCTTCCTCTGGAAACACCTCCGTTGTGCTGTGACAGGCTTATCAGCGTTTCTGAAGTTGCAGGTGTTTCTGTATTGGGAGCTCGGTGTCGTCATTTTGACGAAAGTGTTTTCTGGGTTTGCAGCTTGTTTTTTATTTCCAGTTTGTTGGGTCTGCTAGGCCACCGTAAGCATAGCTCCCGATGCTTGTTAGCTGTTGTGAATGCTATTCAAGGAAGATTTCTTAAAAACACAAACTGATTAAACAAGGATTTTTCAAGTGCTGGAGAAAGAATGCAATGAACATGACGCCGAGCTTCAGCGCTGTCACAGTAAAACATATCCAGTACTATGAAGATGTTAATCAGCGGCTAAAGATTCGGATTCAAATGAAGGACGAGGAGATGGAGTGTGAAAGACAGAAATGGAAAACAGGAAAGGGAAAGGTGGAGAAAACTGTCAAGAGCTCTAGAAATATGGAGGTGATTGCCAAATTCAAGGCCTTCATGAAGGTGGGAGAGTTCTGGACCCTATTGGACCCCAAAATGAATTGTTCCTAGTCTTGCATGTGTCAGATTTGCAGCGCTCATGCTGTCATTACTGCAGTGCAGTTCTCTAATTACTCGAACATGTGCACTCAGCACAATATGGGTTCCTGCCCTGCAACCCAGAGCTAAGGGCCTGTATAGGGAGATGTTTCTTGTAAAACTTGTTAAATGAATGAATGAATGAATAAATAAATAAATAAATAAAATGCGCAAAATATTAAGTAATAAAATGCGAACGAAAATAGTTGCAAATACAAATAATGCTAAATAAAATGAAAGGTGATTTGACTGAAACATGCCGCAGTTCCTTGATCAAACAGTAGGTGGAAATGCACTCTCAGTTTTAGGACTGTGATGGAAAGTACTACACAAGCATTATAGAAACAACATAAGCTGCACTACAGGGATGCTATAGATATGGAAACTTCATTTAGATCCTGGCATTTCTTGGGGGGTCAGTTTATATTAAGGTTTTTAAATATGTATTTAGGGGAAGGTATGAAGTGATGAAATTGCTTTGTTTAAAATATTGTTTTTATTATTATTATTTAATTAATACAAGAAAAACCACTTGATTAATTGGCCAAGTGTTCTTGTTTTACATAATTATGATGTAAACAGAGTCGTTCAGAGTGGTTTGGTGTGAAATGCTCTGTTCTAGAGAAACTTAGAGTCAGAACTGTTCACAGTGGTGGTGATAGGAACCAGACGTCCACCTCTAAAAGCTCCCTCACAGAAAGTTACGACATGAGATGGTTATGAATTCACTGCCTGATGACTGAAACACTGTTTTATGTGTTTTTTTAGATTTCCCACTATTTTACCATGGAGCTGGGCAGTATGACAATATTTATCGTTAACATGATATATTGCATCACAATACATCACAATGTGCTTTTCAACGTCATCTATCTTAACTTATTGATTCCATGTAAAACTCAGAAGACTCGTGTAGGTCCACTCGAGGTTTTGGATGGTAAAGAAAATGCCTATGTTTGTGTTGTAGTCATGGCGACCCCTGGTTCCTATCACCACCACTGCAAATACTCTAAAACTCTACAATCAACCATTTCACACCAAACCACTCTGAATGACTGTTTACACGTCAATAACTTATTTATGCCGGCATTTTAAAAATTCAGTGGAATTCCTCTTCAAGAAACACCTCATCAGAGATAATTGGCTGCACTTTTCCTAACCAGTAGAGGGCAGGCTTTACCATCTCTGAATCTGATTGAGTTGGGGGGGGCTTGCCTGCATTAAATGTTTCCCAGTCGTGCAGTGATTGGTCCTCGAAAAGCATCTGGATGTTTGTGCCATTCTTAAAAATGAATTAAGCTCATATGTCCGAAGAGGACTATTCTGAGACTTTTCTTGTTTTGGCAAAAGTATTTTTTTCAAAAAGTAGCCGATGTTCTTGTTTGAGCAGTTTCTTTGCAGACTTCTGCAGGTTTGCGTTCATAATGTCTTTGTGCCTGTCTGAGCTTGTGATCCCATCAACGAGCAGGAGCTCAGTGTGAGCACTGTAAGAAACACAGGCCCAGACTTTTTCCCCATTTCCAGCTTTTTACAGCAGCCTTAGTGCGGCATGGATGAAATTCGTCTCCACACAAAGACTATGATGCTGTGCAAAAACTGTTTCTCTCTGAAAATAACATTTTTATGACAGAACCTAAAGGAGTTCATTAAAGTTTACCGGTGCTTAAAGCTGTCCAAATACTATTTGGGGCCACTGTAATTATTTCCATATCCATAACATGGTCAATCGGAATACACATTTTAGGGTTTAAGAACAGATAACACTCCATAAATCAGCAGTGAAATTTGTATTATTTTATTGTTTTACATTGTTGAATACTATTTTGAATATTACTCTAAGTGTTGTGCTAGCGTTATCATGGTAAATGCCAAAGTCTGACCACTATGACCATAAATGTACATATCTAGATGCTGCTTTGGGTCCAGCCAGGCACATCAACGGTGCCGCCATTTTAGGGCGGTCAACATCGATGCTGGACTGCATTCAGCACCATTACAGAGCGTCAGTTTAAGAAAGATACTGTCCAAAATTATACTATTTCATGAATATCACACTCAGAAAGTGGGATAGGATTATATAATGGTTTATGTTAACGTTATGTAGTAGATATTTATTTACAGTCATGGTTAATTCTTTGTAGCAGTAAGTTATTCACAATAGATTAGCATTAGCACCTTCTTACGTGAAGCTGAAGTTAGCTTGTTTGCCAGGTTCTTGTTCGAATTTCCCGTTCCACTTTCTGTTTTCTGAAGCTGCACCCTTCAAGGTGGAACGGGAAATCTC